AGGATGATCATTGGTGATAGTGCGTAGGCAGGCTTGTCTTGCTCCTAACTTCACTTCAAAAAAGGATTCGCTGAGTTTTCCTTTGTGGATCATCTGGCATGGGACATTATCACATATCTCTTGAATGAGATTGGTAAGGATTTTGGGCACTGTGTATTTTCAGAACAGTTCCTGAATCACTTCGCTGTCAACGCTATCAAAGACCTTTTCAAAGGGGATAAAGTTGAGGTAGATGTTAGATTACTATTCAATACTACGTTCGATGATGGTGATGCGTATAATGCAATCTGATCTGCAAATGATTTGCCTTTCCTAGATCCATCCAGCTTTTTCCGTCAGTTGGAGTTTTGTATTCACTACATCTTGTTCTCTCCAGGATAGCGTGACTTAGTATTTTACTTGGCGTGGACAAGAGCATGATTCTGCGCCAGTCGTTCCAAAGGCCTGTATTTCCCTTCTTTGATAGTTTGACCAAGTAGCCTTCCTTCAAATCAGTAGGTGCCTCTTCTTCCTTCTAAACCTTCTGTAATAGCGGCGTTAGCATATCCACTGTTGTCTCTAGATCCGTTTTAAAATGCTTCAGCGCGGGAAAGTGTACAGCATGTACAGTTTATTCAAAAGGTCAAAGTCACTACAGATAAAATAGAATGTCAACATGAAAATGAGGGGCTTTTGTAAGAAAATGACCGATTGTGGTTAAACGGTGATGAAGCTGTAAGTAAAGCATAACTTACACCACTTAATAGTGGTAAGTAGCATAAAGCCGGATGCGAAGCATAGTAATCACTGATGAGTACCGATTATTCAGGAAATAGAGGAACAATTATTTGTCTACACATTGTGACGAATAGTGGTGTGAAGCATAGTTTCCTTAAAGTATGCAGCAACAAATGGTATTTGGTTCGTAATTATTATTATTTATATTTCATATAAACGAGTAAGTTTACCAGAAATGCATGCCATTTTTACAGGCACGATCAGTAATGTTATAAAACTCAATCGTGAAGTTTCATAAATTGTTGGGTT